GATTTCAGCTACTGTGGCTGATGACCCTAAAACTGACCCTGGCGGCCTGAGTAACCACCTTGAAAACTCTGGAGTGGAGGTGCACTGATAGGAGCTGGTGGTGCACTATAGGCTAGCTGATCGGAATACTGTATATGAGGGCCACGACCAACTGAAGCACCGTGAGAAGCCTGGAGTGTTGAATAAAATGGCCTGGGAGGATGGCCTCTACCAAAAGTACCCCTGCCTCCAGACGAGGCACCACTGAATCCGCCAGAATGACGAGGTCTCTTGTCAGATCCCTGACCACTCCCCTGAGCTAGAACCATCTCGACTCGCCTGGCAATATTGGTTGTCGCCTGAAAAGAAATCTCACTCCCAGTCTCCTTAGCCATCTGCAATCTGATAGGCTGAGCAAGCCCCTCAATAAACCTCTTCACCCTCTCTCTCTCAGTAGGAAGCAGAAGAATAGAATGACGAGCCAGATCCACAAATCGAGTCTCCTACTGAATAACAGTCATAGAACCCTGCTGCAGACGCTCGAACTGCCTCCAGTAGTCCTTTCTCTGAGTGATAGGAAGATACTTCTCAAGAAATAGCTGAGAGAATTGGTCCCAAGTAAGAGTCGGCCACCCAGCTGGTCTGGCCAACATATAATACCTCCACCATTTCTTGGCGGAACCCGACAGATGAAATACAGCAAAGTAGACCCCATTGGTCTCCGCTGTCCCCATGTTCTGTAACACCTCATGACAATTGTCCAGATAGTCCTGGGATCCTCTGAAGATGTACCACCATAGTTAACTGGGAAAAGCTTGGTAAACCTATCCAATCTCCACAAAGCCTTAGAAGACATAACTGATCCGTCACCGGTCTGTGCTGCAACACCCGGCGGAACTGCCCCAACTGGCTAAGCTGCTGGAGTCTGAAACTGGGGAGCCATCTGCTGTGGAGTGTGAGTAGCGGGAGTCTAGACTCCTCCCCCAGCCCGAGAGACGGCTGGTGCCACAGGAAATGTGCCGGTCTGAGCAACACTCTCCATAAGGCCCACTAGACTGATCAAAGCATCCTGAAGCACTGGGTGGCTATGAACCCCTCCGAGACCTGAGCTGGTCCGGCAGGAACAGTCTGGGCTGGAACTTCATCATCAAACTCCACCTGAGGCTCTGCTACTGGTGCTGCTGCTCGAGCTCTAGGCTGAGCCATGCCCCTACCTCGGCCTCTGGCACGGCCTCGTCCTCGTCCTCGTCTTCGTCCCCTGCCCCTCGTATGAGCTGCCAATAGGGGCTCTGGCTGCTGCTCAGTTGAAGACGCGGTGCGTGTTCTCGCCATCTGCGAGAGAACATAATAGAAGAGTTCAATTAGCAATGATAGAATAAAATCGCACGATAGAGAAGAATAGAAGTGAAACTCTTCCTAACTCCATAGCCTCTGGAAGATAAGTACAAACGTCTCCGTACCGATCCTCTAGACTCTACTAAGTTTGCTCGTGAATTGTGAGACCTAGGCAACCTAATGCTTTGGTACCAACTTGTCTCGACCCGGAATTCCCACCTTCGGGACCGTGATGGCGCCTAACATTTCACTTGCTAGGCAAGCCAACGTTAGAGTATTCACAAAATCAACTTCAGCAAATTTTTAATAATAGAATTTAGTTAAGCTAAACAGAAGCTAAACAGAGTTTGCGGAATATTATGAAACCCAAAGTAACTGAAACATTAAGGATCTGGAGTCACAACTCACGAGCTACTACGATTTACTACAAACGGAGTCTGAAAGATAATACATTGTTCTGAAAGAAAAGAAATAGTAAAATAACAAGTCTAGGAAGAGACTCCAGGGTCTGCGGACGCCAGCAGATCTACCTTGGTCTCCTGTCGATTAAGTCCAACTGCTAAGCTTGGGCTCAACTCAGGCTAGTACCAAAATCTGCACAGAAAGTGCAGAGTGCAGTATCAGTACAACCGACCACATGTACTGGTAAGTGCCGAGCCTAACCTCGGTAAAGTAGTGACGAGGCTAGGACAAGACACATACATGAACCTGTGCAGTTAAACAACATACAAGCACAATAACAACTAATAGAAGCTGAACTGATAATAACGGGAGGGGAAACATACTGAGGGGATTGCAAGATAAAGAATCACAGCAGTAAAGAAATTTAAGCAGCTAGTACACCTTGAACTAGTAATAACAAGTAAACACAGCAACGAAAAATGCACGGCATCACCCTTCGTGCTTTTACTCTCAACCTCATAAGATAATCAATAGAAACGACACGGCATCACCCTTCGTGCTTTTACTCTCAACCTCACCATATAAATCAAATAAGAATGGCACGGCATCACCCTTCGTGCATTAACTCTCTCATAACATGGCATGACATCACCCCTCGTGCTTTTACTCTCAACCTCACCATATAAATCAAATAAGAATGGCACGACATCACCCTTTGTTCATTAACACTCTCCTTCACCAAAACAAGGAACGATAATAATAGGGAGATATAAATGACAACAACAAGTCTTACTTCAACATTTGCTTCCACAATATCAACATCGGCTTTGAGTCAATACTTAATCAATACCAAAATTCGTACTTATGATAAGAACGATCAACATAACAATAAACTAGTCTAAACATGGATAATATGATCAAGGAAAGCTATAATTTTATGAATAAGACTCACTAACATGTTATGACTCAACAACAACGCATAGTTACTCATCACTTCACCTATACGTTGTACCCAACAATTCAAACACGTAGCAAACAGGCAAATAAGACCTAATCCCTCAAGCCAAGGTTAACCACGACACTTACCTCGCTCTGCGGGCCACTCAATGCTCAATTACCGCTTTTCCTATAGTATCCACCTCCAAACCACTCGTATCTGGCCACAATTAACTCGATAACATCAATTATTGCTAAAGGAATCAACTACAATGCATAAATTTAGATTTCTCAAACTTTCCCCCAAAAAGTCAAAAACTGACCTCGGGCCTGCTTGGTCAAAACCTGAGGTTCGGATCAAAATTTATTTGCCCATTCACCCCCGAGCCCGGATATACAATCAGTTTTGGAATCCGATCTCAAATTGAGGTCTAAATCCCCAATTTGCAAAAATCCCCAATTCTTCCTGAATCCCTAGTTTTCTACCATGAAAGAACAAAGATTAGGGCTAGGAATCCAATGAGTGATGTTAGAAATGGAAGAAAATGAGTTAAAGAGTACAAACCTATGATTTGGTGTTGAATTTCCCCTTCAAAATCACTCCTAGGTCGAGTTCTAATGAAAGAGTGATGAAAATTTTGAGAAAATCCCGTTCTAGTCTGTTTTATGTCTCAGGCGTCAGGCCTTCTTCGCGTTCGTGAAGGGCCTGCCGCGATCGCGAAAGGCAGCGGCCCAAAGGCCTACGCGTTCTCGAGTCCTTCTACGCATTCGCGAAGGCTGCTCCCCCTGGCCTTCACGTCCGCGAGCCAGTGCTCGCGTTCGCGTAGAAGAACGGCCGTCCCCTTCGCCAGGTCCCTTACGCTGCGCGTTCACGAGAGCTTGGTCGCGTTCGCGAAGGGTAATGCCCCCAATGCTCCGCGTTTGTGACCAGTCCTTCGCGTTCGCGAAGAAGAAAATACCCCTGCCCCCAATTTACCTTTCGCGTTCGCGAGAGTACCTCCGCGAACGCGATGAAGGACACACCAGATATCAGTTGAAGCCAAAAAAACCAGATTTTCTAAGTTCTAAACATCCCGTAACCTATCCGAAACTCACCTAAGCCCTCGGGGCTCCAAACCAAACATGCACACAAGTCATAAACCATCATATGAACTTTCTCGCGCGATCAAATTGCCAAAAGAACACCTATAACTACGAATTTAGCACCAAATTGAATTAAATTATCAAGAAAGTTTTAAAACCTCTATTTTCACAACCGGACATCCAAATCACGTCAAACCAAATCCGTTTCTCACCAAATTTCATAGACAAGTCTTAAATATCATAATGAACCTGTACCGGGCTCCGGAACCAAAATTTGGGTCCGATACCAATGAGATCAAACATTAACCAAATTCTTAAAACCATTTAATTTTAAGACTTTTATTTTTCATCAAATATTCATATCTCGAGCTAGGGATGTTGGAATTCGACTTCGAGCATACGCCCAGGTCCCATATTTCAATACGGACCCACCGGGACTGTCAAAATACGGGTCCGGGTCCGTTTACTCACAACGTTGACCGAAGTCAACTAAATCAACTTTTAAAGGCAAAAATTATTATTTTCATCAACTTTCAATATAAAAGCTTTTCGGAAACACGCCTGGATTGTGCACGCAAATCGAGGAGGGTAAAAATGAGTTTTGAAAAGCCTCGGAATACCGAATCGAGTTCTAAAACATAGATGACCTTTTGGGTCATCACATGTCATTGCCATCATCTTACATTAGCTATATAGGCTGCAATGCTATATGTGAGCACCTAATTTATGATCTGACCCGGCTTTTGCAACATTTTAGTGTAGATTCCTTTTTAGATTTTTACCTTGATTTTTACACTTCTTATTTCAATTTAGTGGGCTTTATTAAGAAAATCGAACATCATAAAGAAAGCCACATTTTTAGTATACGTTTTGTTTTCATTTATAAAAGGGAAGAAGAATCATAAAAAAAATAAATATGATTTTCTTTAATTGTTGTAAGTTAACGATTTTGAATTATTCTTTTGTAAGTTTTAGAGTAGAAGTAGCTAATTAGTATTTTATTTTATAATTTTAATTTAGTAAGAATAGAATTTAAAAAGAAATTATACTACTTCACATTCTTAATCACTCGCACCCCATTTTCTTGACAATTTCTATCTCACTACATGACAAAAAATTATAGCTTGCTCACCAAAAATATTATAGATAAATCCTACATACTTACGTTGGAATGAGAGAGGAAGCTTTCTTTTAGGAAAAAGACAAATAATAAAAGATTAAAAAAAGGTAATTGGAAAAGGGACTCGAGCAAATAGAAAACCGGTCTAAATCTCAGTCAAAAAACGGCCAAAACACTGCAGAAAATAGCCATAAGAGCAGCTCCAAATTACCATATAAATACCCCAAAAATACCATCAAAACACCACCTAAAAACACCTCTGTCTTCACCATTTTGGATGTGCAAGATCGACTGTTGAGACGCCGGCGAGTTTCGATCGAGGTCCGAAGTCCATCGGGATCTTTCTCGTTGCTTTGATTTCTCTGTACCAAAGCAAAGAGGTCAGGCTCTTCAATATTAAAGGTTCAGTCTTTTCCTCTATTCTTCACTTTCTGGGTTTTCTCATGTGAAGTAATTAGTTGTTGGGTTATATGCCCTTCTTTAAATCCTTATTTTGTGAATGATTTGCAACCTTAATTTCTGCTTTTTCTCTTTTTATAATGAGTGTTATTTGGCTCAGTAGTTAACGTGTTAGCTTTAGTTAGTTTGAATCATCTCCTCCATGTTTCTTTTATTTTGTCATGTTCAAGTATTGTTATAAGAAGGCATGATGAAAGTATGTAGTCGAAGTTTTCTGTTTAGGGGAGAGTGGAGATTTCTCATTTGTTTTTTGCGCCAATCAAGTTCTTAAGCGGTCTGCTCAGTTACTGGAATTAGTAAAGTTTGGGTCAATACTCTTATTTGCCGAGTACCCTTTGTTTCCTTCATTTCAATTTTGATTTGGTACAAAGTTTAAGAGATTTTTCTTTTTTTTTTTGGAGTTATGTAGTTCTAGAAGTGTAGGGGCAAAAATTTTGTGGGGCATGACAGTCGTGTGACTATAAAAGCTTCTCATTAATAATAGAGTGGGTAAAATAAAAAATTTAATTTTAAGTTGTTTCCAAATACAGAAATGTGTCAATTTTTTTGGGATGCACTAATAAAGAAAGTCTGTCATTTAAATTGAAATAGAGGAATAATTGGTTTCACAAATAAAATGGGATGAGAGGTTAGTTGGAGAGGAAGGGCCACGACACTAACACTTGTTTGGATTGGTATTGTATTGTTACTTTAAATATAATGTTTGTCTTAATTGTTAATTAAAATTTATTACACCGTATCGTTAAAGCCGTCGTTACGTAACGACGAAAAGTGCCACTTTATGTAACGATCGATTTGGTGTGGTCGTATCGTTACCTTTTTTTCCCTTCATCTTGCCCTTTCTTGTGATTAAATAATTTTATTTATTCTTTACCTTTATGTAATAATTCTATTTCGTACCTTATTTTTTCTTAGTTTATTCTTCATATTATTGGTGCAAGACATCATGAAACAACGACAAACAACACAATTTATTCAAACCTTATATATATCAAATTGATACAACACAATACAATACGATATGATCAAGGGCGGATTTAGGGTGGCGGAAGGGGGTTTACCTGAATCCCCTTCGCGGAAAAATTATACTGTATATATAAGGCAGAATCTGTTTTTTACCTCTATATATTATGTTTTGAATCCCCTTGACACAGCTCAAAAGCATAGCTTAGTGGTCGAGGGGGTTCAAAACCTTTGTAAGGTCATTGGCAACTTCTACTAACTACAGTCTTATTTAATCTTTTCCTTTTTTGAACCCCTTAGCGGAAATTCTGTCTCCGCCACTAGATACGATACATTATAATATGATACATAACAACCATCCAAACAAGCTGTAATAGAAAGAAAAGAATTAGAATTTGGGCCTCATTATCTTTATATTATCCAATCTTTTAGTATTGGTCTCTTCATAATAATCCAATTCATAGGTTGGTCCATACCTTATAAATAAATACAAAATAACTCTAAATCCATCAGTATGCTCTTAGGAGCGTATTAATAATTTAATTATCATGGCTATGAGTACAGTTTGTGTGGTATAATTATAATCCATAAATCCTAATTCAAGTGCGCGTTCACGCATCTTGATCGATTAACTTTAAATAATAATAAAGTGTCATCAATCGTGAGCACGTGTGCGTGTCATGATTTTTGACGCACAAACACGACAAGGGTACGGTTCGTGTGACTTGTTCAAGATAATTTCCATAAAATTTCGAAACAAGCAATTAAAAGTGGTATAAAAGCGAAAATTCATAAAGCCCTTTGAAACATATAATATCCGATTTAATTAAGCATGTGTAAATTATTAAGTGACCGTGCTAGAACCACGGAACTCGGGAGTGCCTTACTGTCACACCCTAACCTATGTGAGGTGAACATGCACTTAGTACTTCATAATATCCCGTCCAGTCCTCAAGTTATTTTAACTCCAACTCCTTTGTCTATAAGCAATGAACAATACTTTCGTTACAGTACGAATGCCAGAACTTGTCGTATTTGAACGACACACTTTATTCTACGATAAAACGGACAACACCTCCCCTATTTATATGACTTTCCACAAGTTACAACAGCTAAAACAACATCAATAATACTCATAATAAGCCTTTCAAAACAGTTTAACAATCCCGACAAGCGCAAGCTCGATTTACGGTCAACAAAATAGAGTTTGAATCCAATTTCTTTTTCATGAATCTTCTTAGAATATCAATAATATTATACTTATGTTTACCACATCATTTTCAGCCCAAAACATCATAAGAATAATCTTCAAAACAGCCCACTTGCCTAGCACCTTACCTTTTATCGTCAATCACCTATTTTTCATGTTTTCTTCTTCAATCAACTTAATTAACACCTAGATAAACTTAACAAGAACTATAACATCAAATTATTTCTCATAATTTCTAGCCATCAAAAACCATATATGTAGCCGCAAAACAGTCCAACAAAAAAATAACCATGCCTAATGTTCTTTCCAGTGCTATCTTGTGGTTTCGCTCAAACAACACAACCAACACAAGATTAACCTTAGGCACAATCAAGCATATGTTATACATACCTTGGACAATTGCTACACCTCGAAGCTTCATCACAACTTAGCTCATAGTAGCCCTCAATCATAGAAGCATTCTATCGTAGTCTTTAACACTTTTGATTATGATTTGAGTTGATTTCCCTTGAGTTTGGTTCTTGGATCTTGTAGATATGTTAAGAGAGCTTGTGGACGAAGTTTAGGTGAGAAATGACCAGAAGTGAGGCTGCAACGTCTTTTAAAAGAAGTAAAGTTGGTGGCCGCCTCAAGTGGGTCCCAACGGGGCTGCATGCGCAGTCTTGCGAAAACACGAATATCTCTCTACTCTGATATCGTATCGACGAACGGTTTAATGTGTTGGAAACTAGACTTGTAGATCTTTAATTTGGTGGGTGGATCACCCCATAACTCCAAGTATATTGGGGGGAAAAGCTCAGTGACATTAGACCCAAATTTAGAGTCCTACAGGCTACATGACAGAAAGTGGCAACAATTGCGGGATTGGAAGAATTCCGGCCACAAGTTGTAGTGTGAGAAAGAGGCCTAAAGGGGGGAATGCTCTGGCTTTTGGATTTATTCATAGAACAATTGCCTAGATGGCAAGAACATTATTGAAGTATTCGTAAGAGCCGTAGGTTATGGGACTAATAAGCGCATCAGTCAACATTCGAGAACGAATGTTCCAAAGGGGGAATGATGTTACACCATGTTTTAGTACATAAAGGTATGTCATAAGTCAATTGATGTAAGCTCGAAAATGAGATCATCTTGGAAGTATATGTAGTAAGTTAATCATGTTACCTTGGAGGTTACAAATATTGAAGATCATGAACAACAAGTACCAAAAGGGTTGGAAAGTTTAGAAGCTAAACGAATCGAAGAAAATAAGTTTCGTTGAAAGTCGACAGGTTGGGAATGTTATAACCCGTACTTTTTAAGGTGAGACTATGGTGCTTAACATGAGAAGAAAGTGATGTTATGAGGTATTTTAGTCGTATGATAGTGTGTGTTAAGTTTTGAAGTCAAACGAGTTGTGAAACAAAAGTCGACTTATACAAAAAAAACTAAGCTAAGCTACAAGCAATTATTATCTGAAACTAATTTAAACATATAATAATCATAATCTATTAGCGGAAATAGGCCCACGTGAACGAGGTACAAAATACGACATTTTAACATAGTAAAATCTCATAAAATTCTTAAAAGTACGAGAATATTTCTTATAAAAAGAGTGAGCAATACCTATTTGAATTAAATCAACACCTTAGGTTGTACCAAATAACTAGCAGCGTTGTCAGAGGCGAAAAGTTCTATATAAGGGCTCCAGGTCTATTGGGGCTTTAAGCACAAAGCGCAACCAAAGTGCGGGTTTTAGTAAAAAAAGGCGCATTGATATACGAATTGCTCGAACATTATTGTATTCTTATTGGGACTTTGTCCTTCTTGTGATTGTGACTTTGTCTCTAATATTGGCATTGCCTCTTGATATTATTCGGATCTTGCCCCATCTTGACTTTGGATTGACATTTCATCTTACTATGAACCTTTGTCCTTTTTAAGTATGAGTGAGAAAGCTACTTTCAATATGGTTTTTGATTCTCTTGATTATTGGGTTTTGACCCTACTTGATTTGGGACCTCGGTCTTTCTTGTTAACTTTCATGCTTGATGTGGGTAGTGACGGCCATAGTTGATGATAGTGGTGGTGGTAGTTGAGGTGGGTGGGTGGTTGAGGATGATTTTGTGGTGGTAGTTGATAAAGATGGGGTGGTAGGTCGTGTTAGTCGATAATGGTAGGGGTAGGGGTAGTCGATAATGGTGGATGGTGACAGCAATGATTGAGGATGGTGGCGGTGGTTAGTGGGACGAGGAGTTTAACAATATTAAGCGGTCTCTTTTTCCTAGAATTGTCTCTGATCATTGCCTTATTTCTCTGAAATGTGGGGAATGGGATTTCTCAAAATCTTATTTCAAATTTGAGAATTGGTGGATGGAAGTGGAAGGGTTTAAGAAGAGGGTGGCCGGATGGTGGAATTCCTTTGAGATTACTGGAAGGCCAGATTTTATTCTGGCTTGTAAACTCAAAATGTTGAAATGTAAGTTAAAGGAGTGGAATGTGCTTAATGGGGGGAGCTTGAAGAGGAAGAGGATTGAGCTTCTGAACCAAATTCAAAATTTGGATCTTTTGCAGGAACAAAGACCATTAATTGAGGCTGAATGAGAAGGCAAGCTTGCACATGGAATTCCAGGAAATTGCAAAAAATGAAGAGATATTTTGGAGACAAAGATCTAGAGCTTTATGGCTAAAACAAGGTGACAAAAACACCAATTTTTTTCCAGAAAATTGCCAACTATCATAGAAGAGCCAATTATATAGATAAGCCGGAGGTTCAAGGGGAAGAAATTAC